GAGAGAGAGAGAGAGAGAGAGAGAGATGCAGAGCGTGTGTAGAGCAGGGGAACGCGAGGAACAGTATTAAGAACCGCTGCTTTAGAACATTGATTTTGAAACTTGTGAATCCATTAGAATCGTTAGAAGACAGAATCGCGATTCATATATGAATAGATTTTTACGTGCACCTCTAGTTTTCTCTTCCTCTTCTCTAAAGCAGCACAGCATGGCCTCGCCCCCTTTGCTGCCTTTTCCCGAGGGCGGGGTTTATCTGGGTTTGTGATGTCACGAACCCGGGACGTAACTTGTTGTAGTCCCAACCAGCCGTTTTTGTAGGCAATAAACTGCCAGAATTTTAAAAGACAATATCTCCGTTTGCATTGAACTTTCAGCTTCGTAACTTTGCAGATATTGTTTATGCTCAAACAGCAACATTAGACATTAACTAACGTTAAAAAAGTGAAATTGCAATGAACCACCCCTTTAAAAATAAAGGTTACAAAAGGGGGGTTTCTTAGCAATGCCACAGAAGAACCATTTTGGGTTCCCCAAAGAACCTTTTAGTGAATATTTAGAGAACACCATCCTCCGCTATAAAGAACCTTTTGTTTTGTGTGATGTAAAGGTTCTATGTATGTTATAAGTTCTTTGTGGAACCATTAATGCCAGTGAAGAACCTTTATCTTTAAGAGTATGTCCAAAATATACAATAAAAATAGTCTTAAGATGGTGCAAGATTGTTTTCACACATGGAGAGCAGTTCAGTTTAAGATTTCTGCTATTTATTCACCATAAGTCTGAAGTTGGCCAGTGACTGGTTGATTTGTTTGATAGAATAATGTTCAAAAACTACAATAAAATTGTACAAAGGATTGTTTTCACACTTAGAGATGATGCATTAACTTTTGACCATTAAAAAATTTAGTTTAAGATGCCATTTATTGACCATTAAACAAAAGGCCATACAACAAAAGGTGTCAAAACACTGAGAGCAAATTTGGTTAAAATTAAGAGAAACAAACAAACAGTGGGTCATGACTGGAGTAAAAAAGTTCACAAAGCAAGTATTAACTTAGCAATGGCAAATGCACATGAACAACAACAATACTTTTATTCTCAACACAATCTTTTCAGAATCTGTAGAAGAAGCGCGGGAATGCGAAACCCTCCACAATCCAGTGTTGATAACTGGCCATTTTTTGTGTGTGTGTGGTGGTTTAACTGGTCTCTGGGGATTTCACGTAATCGGGGTTGTATGGCGGTTGAGGTGAGGTGTGGTCTGTGGGAACCGCTGGTTGAACCGGTGGTTGTAGATCGTACATGATCTGACATCCGTCATATGCAGCCTGGCTGAAGGGAGCAGGAAACTGACCTGCTGGAAAACGAAAACCAGTTGTTCGGTAATTAAAGATAGGATTGATTTTTCCCCCTTTATTTCTCATGTAATGTAAAGTTTCTTATTTTCAGTTGTCTGCGTCAGTCATGCCATTGCAAAATCATTCATCTCGCCCAGTCACCACAATCCTGTTCTCAAAAACTCACACACATAGTTACGCAAGAATTTATTCTTGGCATGTGAACAAATAGTTCTGTGACAATAAAAAAGATGTTTAGGCAGTTTTGAGCTTCCACAGTTTTTGGCTCTGTACTTCCACTCACATTTTAAGTGGCTCCTTGTTGCTGTCTTTCTTGTCGAAGACGGAGTGCACACACTTAAAGATGGGTCAGCTAGATTTAGCAATAGTTCAACCAAAATTAAAATTCTGTCATCATTTACTCACCCTCAAGCACAAAAGAGGATATTTTGAAGAATGTTGGTAACAGTTGACAGTAGCCATTGACTTCCATGGTATGGAAAATAAATACTATGGAAGTCAGTGGCTACTGTCAACCGTCTGGTTACCAACATTCTTCAACATATATTCTTTTGTGCTTGAGGGTGAGTAAATGATGACAGAATTTTCATTTTTGGATGAATTATCCCTTTATGTATATTAAGTGCAAGTATGGCGATTTTGTTGCAACATGAACGTCTTGTCGCAGACTTAAAACAATAAAAGTTCAACAACATTTGGTCTTGTAGAATGTGCTAGGCTTTATTCTTATTATTAAACAGGTATATGTTTGCAGATCTTACCAGCCTCCAGATATGTTGGTGGTGGTCCCGGTACACATGGTTGTCCCAGAGTTGGTCCAGTCGGAATGGGTTGCAATCCATAAGCTGGGTGAAGGTTATTAGCCTGGTAATGTGAGTACTGACTCCCCTGTGAATGGTATTGTGCAATCATGACGGTAATTCTTAACACCATATGTTCTACAAAAGATGAATCAAAAGGCAGCATTTAGTATGAACAAAACCCACATGCATCTCTTTGTACACAAATACTGACACTTATGCATAAGTTTTCTCATTCTTTTACTCAGGCAGCAGGAGATGAACACAACAAAGGCCATCACGAAAAACACTATGGTCACAATGATAATGTTTTCCATTCGATGGGGAGAGTGACTTGAATAGTTTAAGGTTTTGCTTCTGGACAGATTAGGGAAAATAAACACTAGAAACATTAGAATCTGCATCCTTGGTTATTTTTTGTGAAAAAACTAAACGCGCAGAAAATAAAATCGACCTACTTCCGTCCATCGGTTCTTACAAATAATCTACTAAAATTAACTAAAATTCATAATTTTGACATCAAAACGGCTCTCTGTTCAATAAACTGGATCATTATGAGTCGGATCTTGAGTCGAATTGATGAACAAATCATTCAGACCATTTTTGTTAGCCAGTTCGATTGAGTCATTGAAAAGACCCGACTCAAAGCAAAGATTCGTTCAGGAATCGAGCTTAGCTAACATGTTTAGTGTAGCCTAGATGTTAAAGTTTATAAGTAATAATAATACTCACGTTTCATGTCTTTATAGTTTCTAAATAATTGGCAAGCAATATTTAAGGGTTTCAGGACTGAAAACATCAAGTATACACTCGCAATACTTTGAAAAACGATGCGTATATGACAAATGGAAAGCTTTGAAAACATCTAGAACATACATTGCTAAAATAAATCCTGAATAAAACTGCAGTAAAGAGCAGAAGAACAGTATTGTTGTAGGCATAGCAGCTCTTCCCCTTCAAGAGCTCGTTTCGTGCTGATTGTGTATTTCCGGAGACTGCAGGACCAATTAAACCACGTTTTTCTTGCTGTTGTAACTCAAACAATCCTGGTTAGTGGCTGTTGTGCCCCCCCATACAAGAAACTCTCAACAAAACCAAAAACCACCAATGTAACGTGTGAAGCATATTGATTTTAAGTACACAATCATATAAATACAAATAGAACATGTCTAAAACAAAACCCACTGCTCTCCAACAAAATCTTCAAGAAAATTGTGAGAGATTAAATAAACTAGATGCAAAACAATTTCTTCTTATTCTTCTTCTTAACTCTGATAGTCAACTTGACCTTTTGCTTAGTTTGATTGGCATGAAATTAATCGATAAACACATTAACAATTTAACAAATTTCCAATGCAAAATATTTGTACCAATCTAGGATCCAAAATAACTAGACAATAGATATGTCTTTGCTTAAAATAGGGAGAAAGAAACAAATTCAAGTGTTTAAAGCTGCAGTCCGTAAGTTTTGCCTCTTTGTCGCTATCTCTGTTTGAAAACCTGCAATTGCAGCTGTTTGCGGAATTATCTTCCTTGCGTGGGTTGTGCGCCGGCTCGGTTCCAGCGCGGATGAATCTAATGTTTTGAGGAGTGTGTGTGGCAGTCAGTCACCGCACCGGTGTGGATATTTACTGTACTTCGCAATCACAGATTCTAGCCTACGTCTTGGAATATATGACCCAAATAGGAATTTTAACCGTATATTGTCATCTGAACAAGTAACAATCTGCCACGTTTGTTCGGACCAACTGAGGAAAAAAGCATTACAAGAAATCGCGCTACCAATGGTGATTAAATCTAAAGATCGGTTAGCTCATATCACATCAAACCGTGCAAATTATTATTATTGTTATACTTTATTCTCAAATTGTTAATGTTAACAACATCAGCATTACGTGACTATGTGAATATAGTGTGTAGATTTCAATTTCAGTACAATCTAATCTCGAATTGTCATACCACTCGAATTTCATGTTAAGAAATTATTTTAACCCAAAAAGCAAATTATGCTCCCTTTGAACTGGTTGTCTTTAAAATACAAATCTTTTGTAATCCCAGGCTATCTGTAATCAGAAGCACATTTAAAACTGGAATATAATTTAATTTCATTCACATGTGTTTAATAAACACACAGTTCTTTCTGGATTACAATCCGCCATCAAAATTATACATTTAATTATTCTAGCTGCTGTGAGAAAAGGTTATAAACGATCGGCCACCTGTAGGATCCTCACATGCGATAGCCTAGTAGCCGGGACA